CACACCTTGCTGCTAGCTACAGTGGGACCTGCAGGTCTACGGGTGACAAATGTCATTTCATTTTCGCGACGCCTGAGAAGCGTTGTGGCAGGTTCACATAGTCACAGTATGATTATAGCGACTCACCTAGGGAGATAACAATTTATAAAGTTTACGGGGTTTCATAAAACCAAAGTAGGTTTTAGGTTGATAAAGAAATTTACTTCCCATATCATTTTAAACTCACGACATTTCTACTAAGAAATGATGATTTCTTATACATTTTAGTCTTTGGTTATAAGGCTACTTTTTTTTTTCGGAGTTCAAGGAAAATATCGGATTTTTCTGACACAAACGCGACATTTACACGTGATAGACTTCTACTAAGTTTATTAATAAAAGCTTATGAACTCACCAACCTTTGTGTTGACACTTTTCAAACAACTCGTATTCTCAGGAAAACACTAAACAGGTAATCAAGTGTTTTTGAGGATGGGACGTTAAGACGTCAAACTTTTCATATTTTGTCAACATATTGTAATTGATTTTGAAACATGTAACTCATACAAGTGATGTAACTTTTTCAATTATATATATGTTGGTTGTGTTTGCTTAAATTACTATTGAAATTGTGGTTATGATACTGTACATGAAGTCCTCTACCCCCGGACATTTCCGCCATCCTTGGTTTGGGGGTGTGACAACTCGATTCGAGCTTCCTTGTACTGAGCTCGGCTCGAGCTCGTAAAGAATTATACAAGCTCGGCTCGGGCTCGAGCTCGACTCGTTTTTTATCTGATGTGTCTAAATAAGCTTAAGCTCGGCTCGAGCTCGTTAAGAAGTTCGTTTACTAATACCCTAAATCCATAATTCCCCTAATATGTTTTTATTTTAATATATTTAAATAATATTAAATTATATTATATAAAGGCTCGTTTAGGCTCACGAGCCTAATCAAGCTTAATGACATAGGCTTGAGCTCGAGCTCGTTTAATAAACGAGCTTAATATTAAGCTCAAGCTCGGATCAGGCTCGTTTAAAATAGATTTCGAGTCGAGCTTTTAACGATCCGATCTCGAGTAGCTCGCGAGTAGCTTGACTTGTTTGCGCCCCTAACCACGGCCCCAGGGTGGGCACCAAATTGTTTTGGTCAAAATTTACAAAAGTACTAATCAACCGAATTGAATGAGAGGCTGTGATGTTCAGATTGTATAATAGAAAATGGTAAAAGAAAGTGACACAATAGTTTACAAGGAAAGCCATTGATCCTTGCTAGGTTCTCCGACATAAAACCTTGGGAGATGATAATGATCACCTGCCTTGATGATTTTATTGATATAAAATGAAGATTACAGTGGGTTCTTAGTAAGAATAAGTAAAGAATTTCGTTGAGTAAGCTTAGACTAAAAAAAAGTGTGTTGTGTGCAGATTACAAGTATCAATTTATAGTCTAAACTAGCCAACAAGATGTTCGATATTTATGGGATCCTCTATGACCTGCTTCATGAACGTTATTTTACCTAGTATTTCGGGTCTTCAACATTGTTAAGACGATTCTTCGCTGAGAATTGGTCTTCCCTTAACTACTTCTGCACATATGTTAATTATAGACAATATATAATCGTTATAAATATTAATAAAAATAATATCAGTAATTAGTCGGGATCTTGAGGTAGCTGAGGATCCTGAATATTGTAAGGATCTTGTCCCTAACAACTATTGTAATAAATGGTTTCTTATATGAACATAACAACTAGTTTTCCTTTAACCCACTTTTAGATAAATTATACTAAGGTGTTCAATATATAATTTGAATATCTTATAATACTTGTAATATAATTTTGTACGGAAATAGATTATATGGAAGATGATGAGCTTAAAATGATGCTAACATCATTGTTTTGTGACAAAAATTTGTTATAAAAGTCTTTAATCATTTTTTATGGAGCTTAATGAAGTTTATTCTTATTCATATTTTCAATCAAGAAATTTTCAGATTTTTAATTAAAGGGTAAAAGAGTTAAAAACAAAAAAAAAAGTCATAAACTAGGTCAAATAATGAGAGTTTTTTTAAAGTAACTTGGTAAAAAATAGTTTACCGGTAAAAAAAAAACTGGTTTAAATTTTATCCGATAATTGAGATTTTTTTGTTAACAAAATAAAATTTAGAACTTTTGCATAAACTGTCCCAAAATATTACACTCTGAATCTAATCGAGTCAGACACTCCTAGGGATGTAATTGGTTCTAGAACTGGATTAGAACCAGAATAACCGAAAACTGATTAATAATGAAAACCCCATGAACCGACACACTTTTAAAGGAGAGAGTGACATTAGTTTTATAGATTTAAGTCGTTATCGAATATCGAGTTTAGATGGTTTGCTACGTTGAGTTTTGAGCCTTTGATTATGAATTTATAAGTATTATAATAATTATTCATTTCAAGAATATGACGCGTTTGTTTTCAAAGAGATTCTATTAGATTCTTAATAATGTTCCAGAAATTACTATAAATTATTTAAAATATTAATTACTTTTCATATATTACTAACTTTTATTTAGTCAAATGTACATCTATAATTTTTATCAGGTGTGTACAAACTTTGGCTTACACGGAAGAAAACAAGCAGAATTTGGCATGGAGCTTTTGAAGGTTTTAGAGTTCATTTTTAACTTAACTGAAAGCTGAAAAACGAAAATTTTTGTTTGTTACTTTTATTTTTAATAAAAAAAACTTAGATTCCAAATATTACTTTAAACAAAATTTGGGAGCTTTTTAGCTTTGATTTTTGATGTAGTTTTACACTTTCAAAACTTAATGGTACTTTTGTTGATTACGACTCTACAATTTTTAGCTTTCAGCTACCAACTATCTATTAACTAGTTTTGTCAAAGTAATCGAACTAAAATCAAATAAAAATGGTTATATTTTGTACGTTATCAATTATGAATAAAATAATGTAAAGAATTTTTTAAAAATTGCTTACGATTTCTTTAATCCTATTCATCACAGGAGTAAACTTTTTTTTTTAAAGATAAAAGCAAACTTAAGTATGCACGTATTTGGTTCTCAATCCGATTTAAAAATTGAACAAAATTTTGATCATAACCAAGTTGGTATAGAATAATTTAGTTTCATGGTATTCTATTTCTATTCTTAATTCAAGTATGATATGAATCTAAATTGATGCAAGACTATATATATATATATATATATATATATATATATATATATATATATATATATATATATATATATAGGGTAAAGTGAATATACCTAACAACCTTATATAAGCTTAGGTACCTAACCACATCATACTACATTATTTTGTATCATATTTGCATTATAATAACCCAAAGTTCTTAAAATTCAACCTCATAACTTGATTGCTTCCAAAATCTTTGGACTTTCACCATTATTTTCCTTCAAATGACGTCTTTCTATCAAAGACCCCCTGGTGGGTTTCATATACTACCGTTATATATCAAATGGTGTAAGAGGAATATAACGGTGAATATCTGAAAATCTTGGAAGTAAATCAAGTTAAAGGTTGAATTTTAATAACCTTAGACTATTTCAATGGAAATATAATGCAAAACAATGTAGTATAATATGGTTAGGTACCTAAGCTTATATAAGGTTGTTAGGTATATTCACTTTACCCATATATATATATATATATATATATATATATATATATATATATATATATATATATATATATATATATATAAACAAACAGTGGTGACAGAATCAAGACAAAGTCCAAGCTGTAGGACACTTAATTTTATAGTTAACACCTCGAAAAATTAACACCATACAAAAAAAAAAAAAAAAAAAAAAAAAAAAAAAAAATCAAAAAATTTATCTTATGCCTTCAAATTTAAGGGTAGTACATGCCACCCTTAAGGCTACATGGTGCACGATATACCGCACACTGCGATTATTTATCTTTACTTACCGCACACTACGATTACCTATCTTTACCTACCTGACACTATGGTAGTACATGAAACACTACTCAAAACAGGTAGTTTTAGTGTGGTAAGCTTGTCGCACAGTCAATTTTCACCGTAGAAGATTAAGCCGTTTAAGTGTATGTGTGTTTAAGTGTCTTTTGGTGTGTGTAACCATTTAAAAATGGTAAAATTTGATTTTATATATATATATATATATATATATATATATATATATATATATATATATATATATACATCTTTTTCAATTTCAAGTACTAAACCTCTTAAACCTCTTCAAAATGAAAGTTGTTTGAATTTTGAAAATGAGAAAGTTGAATGACAAAAAGAGTGCTAGAGAGAAGAAGCAAAGAACCATATATAATTTTTAACAAAATCTTTCAATCATCTCACCACAAACGAATTCGATATGGTTTTGAAGGTTAGAGTGAACATCATAAAAATATATATTGCAAGTAGTGTTTTATTTTTAGCTTTGGAATCAATTTTAATTAAATTAATGAAGTGTTTACCTTTTATTAATTTTATTAAATTACATTTTGTTTAATTAAAAAATAAAAAATATAGTAAAATGTGGTATGACACCTATAGTTTTGTAGGATGAGAGAAAAATAAAAAATCAATGACGTGATAATACAATAGTATAGTATGAGACCCATTAATCTAAAAAGCTATAACTCCAACAATAAACAATTTATTGTGTTGATTCATTAGGTACTCATATGTTAATAATAAATAAAAGATAAAGATTATTAAAAATGTCAAAATGAAAATTCTGTAACAGATTATACACATATTTAGTAGCAAGAAGCCAAGAATCACTGAATCACATCAAAACAAAAAAGAAACTACATAAATATATATGTAATGCAAATTGGTAATGAATTAAAATATGATAATACAAGTTGATAAAAGAAATTCTAATTATTGTATAAATTAGTTAGAAATATAGAGTTTTATTATACAAATAATAATTTGCGTTTTTTATAGAGATGAATGATCTGTCAATGTCCGTTACAGATGCGCGTGAGTTCACGCGCTCCTTAACCAAACGAAAACTCACCAAATCCGGTTTCTGTGTATCCACTACTCTTTTGACATCCCTTCCACACCGAACCCAAACCCTCTTCAATTCCCCTTTGTATAATTGGCTTCACCAGCAATCACCCACTCTCTTTTATGAATCTGGATTGTGGCTTGAGAACCAGATCCTGCCGTGTCATTCAAGAGACTTCCATGGCTGTTGCTGCTTTAGAACTCGAAGATGACGCTGAAGAAATCGATGACGGTTTGAAACAGAGCTGTTGGGCTAACATGCCTCAAGAGCTCTTGAGAGAGGTCTTGATCAGGATTGAATCATCCGAAAATAAGTGGCCTACCCGGAAGAATGTTGTTGGTTGTGCTACTGTTTGTAGGAGTTGGAGAGAGATCATGAAGGAGATCGTTAAGAGGCCTGAGATTTCCGGGATGCTGACTTTCCCAATTTCTGTCAAGCAGGTTTACCTCAATTCCTACAACTATGTCTAATTGTTTCGTTTTTTTTTTTGGTGTGCCTCGATGGTTATCAAACATTTTAGGGTTGGGATTTTGTTGTATGATTCACTATTTGGGTGTATCCCTTTATTATGTGGTAATTATTCTGACGTGTTAGTTCATATCTATAAGTTTATAAGGATTTTGTCGGGTGTAGACAAAGGGATACACGATGGAATGATTGTGTTAATCACATAAGGAAACAAATATTAGAATACATATATGGTACATGGGCTGAGAAATTAAGAAATAACTATATCTATTATACTTGTATGATCCACTATTAGGGTTGATTATGTGTTACTTATCCACTTATTTAGACTCTGTATGTATGGCAACTGACAACCAGACAGTTTGATTGGTATTCTGATTTCTGAATGATGAGCTAAATGATAAATAATTGCCATTTTATTCCTCTGTCTGAATTATTATTGAATGAAAACATGGTTGTTTGATCAGTTTTCTTAACTAACAGAAAATTACAATCCAAATGAGAAAAGCAACAGAATAATATCTCAACTATTTTAACAATATAAGATATAATCAAACCAAGATTCATGCAATTTTAACAAAAGTTACAAAGAAAACACCATAAAACAATAGAATCAACAAATGATATACAACTTGCTCAAATGTTCTAAAAGCACACATGTCATTACAGCTCCTTTATTCCATTCTCTAGTTTCACAAACACACATGGACAAAAAACGACAAGCTTCATTTGAATTTTTATCCCTCAAAAGATAGAGTAAGATGTTTTCATTTTTCCATTTGAGTTCTGTTTCTTATTTTTGTAAATCTTGATACTTTTCCATCAAATCGACACCTTATAGCGTTTTTTTTGTCCCTTTGTTAACCATCACATGTCACAAGTTTCCATATAGTTAGTGTTTGAGATTGATATTTCTTGCTGACACATGTGAATACATTGTTACATAATGTATAAGCTCCTAATTTTTTTCAAATAAATGTATAATTAGGAATTTTGCAGTTAAATTAACTTCTTAACTGTTTCAGTTAATAATTAATAGTTTCTTGCTAACATGCAGCCTGGTCCTAGAGAATCTCTCCTCCAATGCTTTATAAAACGGAAAAGGTCAACTCAAACATATTTCCTTTTCCTTAGTTTGACTCAAGGTAAAGTAAACATCTTTTTTTTTTTTCTACGGATAAATGCATGAAATAGCAATCTACTTTTTTTAATTTGAAGGGTATTTCTTGTTTTATTATGTGTTTTCTTGCATTTGGATTACATATTTACTATTTTGTCCCTGTAATCTTGCAGCACTTGCTGATGATGGAAAGTTTCTTCTTGCTGCTCGCAAGTTTAGACGCACCACATGTACGGATTACATCATCTCATTACATGCTGATGACATGTCAAAAGGAAGCAATAGATATATTGGAAAATTAAGGTGAGGATTTACACTTACATTTACCATTTGAAAGCTGAAAGTTGAAACATTCAGTTTGTTAATTGTTATGACTTATGATATGATTGGAAAGTTAAGTAAACATCATATTCTTTTATATGATATTTGATGACACAGGTCAAACTTTTTGGGAACAAAGTTTATTGTATATGATGGTTTGCCACCTCATGATGGGGCTAAAATGACAAAGAGTCGCTCCACTAGATTTATGGGGTCCACTCAGGTTTCCCCTAGAGTTCCTGCTGGAAGCTATCCTGTAGCTCACATCTCATATGAGTTGAACATGTTGGGATCCAGGTATGCTGAAGGAATGGAATGGTTCATTCCATTCCAATGAAAATGAAGCTGTTTGTTTATATAAAAACTCATCTAACATTTACTCTGTATAACAAAATTAAAAAGCAGGGGTCCAAGAAGAATGCAATGCATCATGGATCCAATCCCAAGTTCTTCCATTGAAGCTGGAGGTGTGGCCCCCACGCAAACCGAATTCCCCCTTTCCAGTGGTGAATCTTTTCCTTCAATTCCGTTCTTTCGTTCAAGATCAAGCTGTGTGGAAAAAACCTTAACCACCAGTCAAAGTCAAAGTCAAAGTCAAAGTCAAAGAGATGGACCTCTTGTTCTGAAAAACAAATCCCCAAGATGGCATGAACAGCTTCAATGTTGGTGTTTAAATTTTCAAGGGCGTGTCACGGTTGCTTCAGTGAAAAACTTCCAGCTGGTAGCCACACCGCCAGCTGGACAATCGGGCCCACAATATGAAAAAGTTATCCTTCAATTTGGGAAAGTAGGGAAAGATGTCTTCACCATGGATTATCGCTACCCTATTTCTGCTTTTCAAGCATTTGCCATCTGTTTAAGCAGCTTTGACACCAAGATTGCTTGTGAATGAAATAACACAGGTTACAACTTTTAAGTAATTGCTTATATTATATGTTACATGTTTGGTCCCTGAGTATAGCTGATTTTTGCAATGTTGGTCCCTAAAAATGTGATTTTGGAGTTGTAAAAGTCCTGTTGCTTATAGTTTTCTATGGTCTTATTTATTTATTGCTTATTTGGTGTCTTACAGGAACAAATTTGATGTGGATTAAAAAAAAAAGAAAAAAAGAAAAATCATGTATGAGATGGAAATAAAAGGGGTATGGTATGGTATGTATGGTATGGTTTCATGGGGCATGAATGTGCAGATTTGAAGACTCTATGCATGCATTGATGGAAGTGAGTAGAGGGAAATTCAAATAAGAAGCCTCATTCCATTCCATTCATAATTGTTATTGATGGTGATGGTGTGGGTTTTTCGGTCTTTTTTTTTTTGGTTGTAAATAGTATTTATTTCGTTGCGTTAAAAAAACTGTCAAACTGTTTGTTTTGTTTTCACCTTTTCATTTCATTAATATATGTTATATGTTTGCTGTGGAACCATACATAATACAATACAATTTACTGATTTTAGTTTCCAGCTATTTTTAAACACAATTTTTCATTCAGTAAAAAAACAGCTATTTAACTGTAAATATTGTCTTATGATTCAGTCCATTGCCCTCCACTCTCTTTATGCTTATTTCTCCAAACCTAAGGCTTTAGAACATAAGGTAAATCTGGCCCCCCACAGCAAGGAAGGTGACTAGGTGAGATTTTACTTACCAGGGAAAATGATTTAAAAAGGTAATAATGTTTTAAAAAGTACAAAAGACACTATTATTTTTTTTAGTGAAAAAAAAATACCATTAAATTGAAATTTTTGTACAAAAAATACCAACAAAATACAAATAACCTTTTAGAGTGACCTGAGGTTACCTCAGATCAACTATTAAATGTGTTTTAATAACCATCAACCACCAAATTAGGGTTCACTCTCCATCTTCATTCCCCTTCTTCATCTCCTTCTGCCCTTCATATTTGATACAGCTCCTATGGCATCTTCAAGTTCATCGAATTATTCTAAGTCAAATTCGAACATTTACAAGTTTTCATCTCCTTCTGCCCTTCATATTTGATACGGCTCCTATAGCATCTTCAAGTTCATCAAATTATTCTAAGTCAAATTCGAACATTTCCAAGAGTAGGAGTACAATTGATTATGCTCACCCTTGTCGTTGTGAGAAGTCTTCCCAAGTTTAGACCTCAACTACGATTGATAATCTGGGTCGAAAGTTTAGAGTATGTCGTAACTCACTAGTATCTACTTCTCTTACATGATTAATTTCTTATGTGAATTTTATTATGTATATTGAAGGATAAGAAGAAGAAGAAATGTGATTTCTGGGAATTGATCGATCAAGATGAAGAACTAATAAAACAAGACAACACTGAAGTCAAGATATCAATATTGGAAATTAATTTTTGGACTCATAAGGTGAAGGCAGGTAAAGAATCAATGAGTTTCATAAAAGACTTGGATAAATTAAGTAGGAAATATTGGAATCTCAAATGTTGTATGTTGTTGTTCTTTGTTATGTTTTTTTATGTATGTTATACTGAAATGAAATGAAAATTGTAATGTAATGACTTTGGTAATGTACTTTGAAAGTGTGGTTAATTCAAAGTCTTATATTGGAATGGAATCAATGTTTTATGGAAATAAAATTAGTTTTGATAAAAAAAAATGAGACCAATGATTCTTCAATATAATTGAGTGCTCACACTCGAATGGAACCAATGATTACTGGAATGGAATCAGTGATTATTGGAATGGAATGGAACTAATTGATGGGTTTTAGCCATAAGAACTTTCCTATGTGCGCATGCAAAACCCTAATGCTTGGATCTAGGCTTTCTAATAAACATGCTTTTGAATCCAAGACTTCTAATGGCTAATTAGGTTAAACAACAATATTGAAACAGATCTAGAATCATACCTTTGAATTCCTTGTTGATCTTGTTTGTCTTGGAGCTTCTAGAGTCACAATTGTCACTCCTCTAATGGCTTACAAACACCAATAGCAAGCAAGATGATTTAGGAGAGAGGAGAGGGGAGGAATTCGACCAGAGGTTCCTTGCTTTAAGGTTGTGTGTCAAATTCCCTCACCCATAGGGGCTATTTATACTATTAGACTCCTTAAGGGTTTCACCCTAAACCCTAATTGGATAATCTTCTCTTAAGGCTATCCAAATCCATTCCATAGATAACCCTATGGACGATTTGAGCTATCCTAAAGCTCTTAGAATCCGTCCAAGGTATATCCTAATGGATTTACAGTCTAAAGTCTAACTATCAAACAATTGACAGTTTATACCCTCTTATTTAATTAATCTCTTTAAGTCACCAAATTAATACCAATTAATTTATGACTTATATTAATCAAATAGCTAAATATTATTCCTTATAATATTTACTCTCTCTTAATAAATCATCCTTCAAGTTGCTATGGTGAAGGCAACCCAAAAGGACCATGCACAACCGAATATAGTTATAGCCTTAGACACTATTCCAACAGTCTCCCACTTGGATAAGTCTAGTAACTATACAAGTACAATTCGGTTTGCAATCGTAGCTCTCAAAGACGCTGTCAACTCTGATCTAATCAATCTTGTCCTTTAGATAAGGGATCGTACAGTCCTCTGTTAGATATCATGCTGACAATCCTATGGAATGGTTAGTCTAGCATTTAGATTTCTCGATCTCTGATTTATTTGACATAGAACTTAATCGAACACATCAATTCAGTTCTGACCGGGCCCGGCACATAAGTCAAATCAAATCATCGAGTGGCCAAGATATCTCTTCTATCCTCTTAGGATAAAATTTACAGATAAACTTCGACTTATATGCATTTACTTATTCATTAACCAACTATACACAACAATGCGTTTTATAACATCAAGTTACTGATGCGTTTTCGCATTATCAATGCACAATCAATTAACAAATAATAAACCATATATCTAGGTTTTAAGACCATATGATATTATCGTCTTGCGATCACCTTTTATATCGTATTCCATAAGGTGATTCCAGCAAGCGCGGGTTTATTCCAATGCTCAAAACCAGTTCATAAGCACTCATGAACGTTGCAGCAACCCTTGCTATGTCTAACACCATTTAGACATTCTACACACCAATTCATGACAATCTTCATTCATATCTACTCCCAACATATGAACGATTGTGGACCATTTGAATAATTCGATTATTCCTAATAAACTCAATTATTCTGGAAGTCAAAACATGCAAAGTGAAACAATAGTTAAACAACTAACATGTGACAGTAACTTTACTCATAAATAAACTCCTTTATTTAATCATCAAATGTTAATTACATTTATCTATTATACGTTTCTAATACTATCTAATCTATACTAATATCATCCTTCAGCCCAATACTCCTAGCATGCTGCAAGTGCTTAACCCTACTCAGTCCCTTCGTAAGCGGATCTGCTGGGTTATCTTCTGATGATATCCTCTTCACTACGAGTTGTCCTTCTTCTACACGATGTCTAATGAAGTGATATTTTCTGTCGATATGTCGAGATCTACCATGATCCCTCGGTTCCTTGGTCAAGGCAACCGCACCTTCGTTATCACAGAAAATCTCCATGGGCTCCTTTATGGCCGGCACAACTCCAAGATCACCGATGAAGTTCTTCAGCCATATTGCCTCCTTCGACGCTTCGCTCGCTGCGATGTACTCTGATTCGCACGTTGAATCAGCTACGGTTTCCTGCTTGGAACTTTTCCATGTCACTGCTCCTCCATTTAGGGTAAAGACCCAGCCCGACTGCGAACGGTAGTTGTCCCTGTCGGTCTGAAAGCTGGCGTCACTATACCCTCGCACCTTCAAGTCATCACTCCCTCCAAGGACTAAGAACCATTCTTTCGTCCTCCGAAGGTACTTAAGGATGTTCTTCACCGCAATCCAATGTGCTTTGCCAGGGTTCCCTTGATATCTGCTAACCATGCTCAAAGCGAAGGCTACATCAGGGCGAGTACAAGTCATAGCGTACATGATTGAGCCAACTGCGGAAGCGTATGGTACTCGGCTCATTTCTGCTATCTCAGCTTCGGTACTCGGACTTTGAGTCTTACTCAACTTGGCATTTCCTTGTATCGGTAGTTCTCCCTTCTTTGAGTTTTCCATACTAAAACGTTTTAGTACCTTCTCTAAGTAAGTATTCTGACTAAGTCCAATTAGTCTCTTACTTCTTTCTCTTACTATCCTTATTCCCAAAATGTAAGAAGCCTCTCCGAGGTCCTTCATAGCGAAGCACTTCCCGAGCCAGGACTTAACCTCCTGCAGAGTCGGGATGTCGTTTCCTATGAGTAATATGTCATCGACATATAGAACGAGGAAGCTTACTATACTCCCACTGGCTTTGACATATACACAAGATTCGTCTTCGCTTCGTACAAATCCAAACTCTTTGACTTTCTCATCGAAGCAAAGATTCCATCTGCGAGACGCTTGCTTAAGTCCATAAATGGACTTCTCAAGCTTACACACTCTATTCGGATGCTTCGGATCCACAAACCCCTCTGGCTGAGCCATGTAAACATCCTCAGCCAACTTTCCGTTAAGGAAAGCGGTCTTGACATCCATTTGCCAAATCTCATAATCATGAAATGCGGCAATTGCTAGCATCACTCTAATAGATTTAATCTTCGCAACTGGTGAGAAGGTCTCATCATAGTCAACTCCGGGAGTTTGAGTAAAGCCCTTCGCAACCAATCGCGCTTTATATGTGTGTACGTTCCCATCCACGTCGGTCTTCTTCTTGAAGATCCACTTGCACCCTACGGTCTTACGTTCGGGCACGTAATCAACCAAATTCCAAACTTGGTTATCGTACATGGATTGGATCTCGCTATCCATCGCCTCTTTCCATTTCGCAGACTCCGGGCCTGCCATGGCTTCCTTATAGCTATTAGGTTCATCAAGATTTACTAGTGTACCATCACTAATATACGTGTCCCCTTCGGTAGTAATATGAAAACCATAAAACTGGGGTTGAACTCTAACTCTATCGGAACGTCTAAGAGGTAAGGATTCGTCAATCGGTTCAACCGGAGTTTCCTCCTCGGGTTGAATGCCAGCGGTAGAGGTTCCTTCATCTATCGATTCTTGAATCTCTTCAAGTTCGATTTGCCTCCCACTGTCTCCTTGGCTTATGAGTTCTCGCTCTCGGAAAACTCCTCTCCTCGCAACAAAGATAACATTATCTTTCGGTCTATAGAAGAGATATCCAAAGGAAGTTTGCGGGTAGCCGATGAAAATACATCGCTCACTTCGAGGTTCAAGCTTGTCGTGAGTATCTCGTCTTACGAAAGCCTCGCAACCCCAAACCTTGATATGTGCCAACGAGGGAGCTTTCCCCGTCCACATCTCGTGAGGTGTTTTGGCAACCTTCTTAGTAGGGACTCGGTTAAGGATATGGGCGGCAGTCTCTAAGGCATACCCCCAAAAGAAGATAGGTAGTGAAGCACGACTCATCATAGAGCGAACCATATCCAATAAGGTTCGATTACGCCTTTCTGCCACACCATTCAACTGCGGTGTCCT